CGGACAAGGAGCCAGCCCCGGGAGGGGAAGCCGGCTGCCAGGCACACGGCTAGAGCGTGGTGGGCTGGGACCAGGCACCCGCGCTTCTGTTTTTTTCTTGCAGGGAGAGCAACGGAATAATTTTTGTTTCCATTAAAATTGTCCAGTTGCCAGACACAGTAAGTGTTCAGAAAACATTCACTGTTATTCTACTTTCTGTCTATTATTCTTGCTCCCCCAATTCAGTTTCGTTCACAATGAGAACCTTTCTTTTGACAGTTGTCCCCAATCCACACAGCATTTTCCAGCATTCACAGCAGGTCCCTGTCATCCAGTTGTCACAGCTACGACTCCTGGGAGGGCAGGGGGCTTTACCCCCCTGTACAGCCCAGCCAGGGCTGGCAACTTGCCGAAGGAAAGCACCCAGCAGAGGGCACCCACCACGCTCCAGCTGTGTGACTTGTGTGGTTTCCTAACGGCCTTGTCTGCTTTTCTGATTCCATCCTCAGCCCAGCCCTATGACGCATGGTATGTCATCTCCCCATTTTGCAGGGGTGCAAACCAAGGTTCAGAGAGTCTATGCCATGTGTCCAAGGTCATATAGCTAGCAGGTGGCAGACCCAAGATTAGGACCCAAAGCCAGGCCAGCAACCTGGCACCGATATCCTTGACCACCGTGCAGTGACTTCCTCTCTGCTCTGCTCACCCAAATCTTTCTTGCTTCTTCCAGCCCCACCCAAGCCCCGCCTCCTCAGGGAGTCCTCCCAGCCCTTCCCAGGAAGCATTTACCCATCCCCAAGTCCTCTCACCCATTATTTCAGGGATGAAGTAGGGGAAGTGCTTTGTCTAAAGCCATGCCAGGGGTCAATGTTGGAGCCAGGCCTAAACTGGGATATTTCCCTCTGTCTCCAGTAGACTGTGGGTCCCCGAAAGGCACAGATGGGGCACGTGTGGGCACTTAGTAAATACCTGCTAAGCGGATGGATAAATGGGGAGGGGGGATGTGCCTAGGATGCACGGGCTGGTGCAAGCAATGCTCTCTATTGGCCATTTCCCATTGTCTCCTCCCGACCTAACGACAGCCGGGACATTAGGACCCACACATGTGGCACCCCTTTTAGTCCCACTGCAACCCTGTTCTCAGTGTCTCACGGACTCTATGATGGGACTGCCTGGGTTCAAATCTCAGCTCTGCCGCCCCCTAGCAGTGACGGTGGGGAAGTTCCTTCCTCTCCGTCCTCATCTTTAAAATGGGGATCACTGTATCCACCTCAAAGGGTTGTCTGTTGTAACTGAGTTAATAAAATGTATCTTCAGCAACGCCTGGCACTCAGAGCTCAGTGCTCACAAAAGTATCTGCAGCTCCATGTAACAGAGGAACTGAGGCTCAGAAAGATGGGGTGGCCTGGCCGGAGTGAGGGCCAGTACAGAGGGCTGGCCCCAGCCCTAAGCCTGGCCCCTGGCGTGGATGCAGAGCCACACTCACGTGGGGCAGGGCGAGCGAGCAGCGGCTGCTGCACTCATAGGCCTCCTTGTGGCGTCCCAGCTCGTTGAGGGCGCGCGCCTTGCGGAACAGCGCCCGGATGTTCTCGGCGTCCAGGCTCAGCGCCTTCTCGCTGTCCTCCAGCGCCTTCTCGTACAGGCCCTGCCGGAGAGGAGCAGGTGCTCTGTCAGCCCTTACCCTCCCTCCCCCAAGCCTTTGCCCCTTCCCCCCGAAGACCAGCCTCCCTTCCCTGCAGAGACAGAGGACGCCGGAGGACCCGGCTCAGGGAGAGGCTCCAGAGCTCCAGGAAACAGCTCTGGTGTTCACACTCCGGTCAAGGGCATCCCTGTGTCCAGCTGCAGGGGCGGCCAATTGTCAGGACACTGGAGGGAGGGCCTTCATGCCACAGTGATGAGCCCAGTCACTCAGACACGTCTATTCTGTGTCTGCCTTCAGTTCAGAACACCATGGACCGAGCCCTGGCTGGTGGGGCTCAGCTGGCTGGGCATCATCCTGTGCACCAAAAGGTTGCTGGTTCGATCCCCGGTTAGGGCACGTGGCCCGGTTGCAGGCTTGATCTCCAGTAGGGGGGGTGTATGTTTCTCTCTCTCCCTCTCCCTTCCTCTCTCCCTCTCTCTCTCTCTAAAAATCCATAAAAAGTCTTAAAAATAAAAAAAGAGAACACCATGGACTGAGAATAATAAAGGCGCCTTGAAGAGGAAGTGAACTCAGGAAGGCAGCCAGCGTACAGAGGGGTGTGAGCAGGCACCTGGCAGACCCGTTTATCCAGAACAGTCCACTGTGAGTTCCAGGTGTCACTGAGCCTCTACAGAGCCCACAGCACAGCCTCCACAGGATCTGGCCAGTGCCTGAGTCAGCGAGCGAGCAGGGCAGGGACGAGGGGGAGGCTGGAGCTCTGAGGAGGAGAGGAGACTGAAGTGTGGAGAAAGAAGTGAGGGTGTGATGGGAGGCAAGGAGCCCAGGAGGGAGGAGCAAGAGGCCAGAGGTTTGCAGAAAGAGGCAGGGCGATGAGAAGAGGGGTTCTCAGCTCTGACTGCCCACAGACTCCTGCCAATGCTCAGCCCCCCTCCACCCCCCCGCCGCCCAGATTCTAACATAATCCATCTGGGGTTGGGCTTAGGCACCAGTACTATTTTATTTATTTCTTTTTTAAATGTATATTTTATTGATTTCAGAGAGGAAGGGAGAGGGAGAGAGATAGAGATAGAAACATCAGTGATGAGAGAAAATCATTGATTGGCTGCCTCCTGCATGCCCCCTACTGGGGATCGAGCCCACAACCCCGGCATGTGCCCTTGACTGGTCACAAACCTGGGACTCTTCAGTCCGCAGGCCGACGGTCTATCCACTGAGCAAAACTAGCTAGAGCACCAGTACCATTTTAAAAATTGTTTCTTTATCTGAAACATTTTTATTTATTGATTTTTGCTTGAGCCACCATTGTCTCAACCAAACAATTGGTGCATAGCTTTGGCCCTTGCCAGAGCTCAAGGTCCATCAGCATTCTGGGTACTTTGTTTACACTTTCCTGATAGCGTAGACAATTAAGATTTTTACCGGATTTGTGTTACCCCCGTTCCCTATAATAGTACCTCACACCCTTGGGAATCAATAAAAAATCACCTTCTTGGTGCTTAAAGGTAACACAACCCTGATATTTTAGAATTACAACAGCACACTGTACAATTATCCCAGGCAAACTTACAAACTAATTCCTTAGATGCCTGGCAACAATTTTAAAAGGACATGAAAGAATTTAATCCCTTCCACTGGATCTCCTTACGTTTGCCTCTCAGCATAACCACTATTGCCTGTCTCCTTCTCGTTCTTGTATGTTTATTTCTAATCTGCAGATGCGGAATGAAGAGTCTTAAAAGGACTCGAACCCTTCAGGCAGCATTCACTTTTCAAGATTTATTAAGGAAACGAAAAGGGGGAGATGCTGGAAGCTACCCATTGTCTATGCCAGTGATGGCGAACCTATGACACGCGTGTCAGAGGTGACACGCGAACTCATTTTTTTTGGTTGATTTTTCTTTGTTAAATGGCATTTAAATATATAAAATAAATATCAAAAATATAAGTCTTTGTTTTACTATGGTTGCAAATATCAAAAAATTTCTATATGTGACACGGCACCAGAGTTAAGTTAGGGTTTTTCAAAACGCTGACACGCCGAGCTCAAAAGGTTCGCCATCGCTGGTCTATGCTATCAGGAAAGTATAAACAAGGAACCCAGAATGCTGATGGCCATTGAGCTTTGGCAAGGGCCAAAGCTATGCACCAATTATTTAGTCGAGACAATGGTGGCTCAAGCAATTTCCTGATCTAACAGTCTCAAAGTAAATCTTTACTAATACTTACTGACCTTTAAGATAGTCTGTCTGCTACCGGAATTGCCTGCCTGACTAAGGGCAATATGTGTATCTAAAATTGAATAAAAGGTTGGCAGGGCCTGGGCACCAGTGAAGCCCTCCCACTAGAGTTGGGCTCTCCACCTGGCCCCCCGTTTCCAAATTCATATTTTTGTCTACTCTTGTCATTTGCGCGCGGCCCTTCTCCAGGTCCTGAACCCAAGCCACGCAGGACAGGGATATCACAACTCTCACAGATTTTAGAGAAATGGAGAGAAAGAGAGAGTGAGAGAGAGAGAGAGAGAGAAAGAAACATCGATTTGTTGTTCCACTTAGTCATGCACTCATGGTTGACTCTTGTATGTGCCCTAATCAGGGATCAAATCTGCAACCTTGGTGTATCAGGACAATGCTCTAACCACTGAGCGCCCCAGCCAGGGCTGGCCAACAGTATCACTTAAGAATTGTTATTATGTATTAGGACTTTAAAAGCTCCAGGTGAGTGTGCTGTGCAGCCCGGCTGAGAGCCCAGGGGGTGACGGTGAGGGTCAGACAGGAGGATGTACAGCCGGCCTTGCAGAGGCTCCCGCAGAATGGGCCTGGCTCACTGGGCGTCTGGGGG